CGCCTTCTTTTTCTAGTGACCCCGCCTCCAGACTCCGCCCTCAAGGCGCGCCATTCAGTCCTAAACGGATCTGCAGGACGAAAAATCATGAAAATCGTCTCTTTCACGGTCATAAGTCCCGCCCCATGGGCATGATAACCAGGCCACTTGCCTCCACATTTCCTCCGTTTCAGTGCAAGTCTGATTGGAAAACGCTCATTGTTGTATAAGAGACAAAGTTTTAACGGGACTCTAAACGAATACAGGGAGGGGGCCAAAAAAAAGTCATTTTGCCTCCATGACTTTCAAGGCGCTATAAGTTACACTTTATTAAATTTTTATCGGACATTTTTACTACCATATTAAAGAGAGCATACGTTAAATAATAATGATACTCGCCCACAGCTTTCTGGAGGAGCGCCATCGAGAGATTCGGCCGCGCGAAAGTGAGTGGGTACCGGAGTTGAGCGAGATCGTTGATTTCTCCGCCACTGTAGACCACCCTGTTGAGCTCCGCCCGAACCGAGTAATTGAGGGGGTTTAGTTCAGGACCCCCGCTTAAATACTCCATCTTTTCCAGGTACTCAACGTTCTTCCATTCCAAGTAGGCGAAAGTTTTTCCAACGCCCTTCGATTAAATGTGTTGTCACCCAATCCTGTAGCAGTACAAAGTTTCCAAGAAGGTACGGGCGACGACATGAAGATGGATATTCTCCTCGAGTTGCTCGGTGTAGCCCCCAGCGCAACCTCATCTGGGGGGGCCCACGAAGAAAATATCGGTTCATCCATTCCAGGTACGGCCGGTCCACACCATCAACCCGCGCCTTGGTGAATGGGGTGAAGATGATGTCCTGGACCGTAGCGACGTTGCCGGAGCTGCTCGATGTTGAGGTCTTGCAGTCAGAGTACGGGTCATCTCCAGGTAGCTATCCATGGGTGATTCCATTCAAGAAGTTCCGCAGCTGTTTGGAGGCCACGTGAATTCCAAAGGCGTTCTCCACTCAGGCCGCGACTGGAGATGACTTCATATTTTGGTGTACATGAAGGTGAATGGCGGCAGCCGGCTCCTGCTTATAGAGGAAGATCTTGGGTATCTTCGCCCTGGTACTCGATATCTACTTCCTCTGTCTGGGCTGCGAAAACTACGCTCATATGTGACTCGGCCGAAATGACTTTTTTTTAGCCCCCTGTACATTCATCGAGCGTTCTTGATTTCTCAATCAATGGGTAGAAAATCGATTTGCAGAGCTTTGGCAAGTAGGACCACGATCACGTTCCTCAAAGGTACGGTCTGCGATAAGGTATAGAAACTGAAAACATGGCGTCGGTACCCCTACGAACAATCTTGTACCGGTTTTGCCGCAAAAAGCTTGTAAGAGAGGGGCGCTATAGCGCAATATAGGTCCAGTGACGCCTCCTTTTTTCCAGTGACTCCTCCTTAAGACTCCGGCTCCGTTTTTCACTGGAAGGCCCTCAAGGCGCGCCTTTCAGCGAAAAGCGGAGCTGCAGGACGAAAAGCATGAAAATCATCGCTTTGACGTCGATAGAGTGTCTATATCAAGACGGCAGGCCCACTGAATATGCTGCTGAAGAAGGAGGTGATTGGGGACGTACAAACCTTCTCGGAAATGAGAGTTGACTTCACACTTGCCGTACTCATGTTTGCGCCAACTCACGGATCCGAACCATCATGATGATGGCGAAGGATGGTGCGGCTTGGATTCAAGATGAGTCGGAATGATCACGACACACCACTGATTGGGATTTGTCGAGTCGCACCCCCCCCCCTCCCCCTAGGAGGTAAGTTGGATACGATCCCCCTCGCCCATCACCAAATACCCCCCTCCGCCACCCTGTTAGGGTATCCCAACGATGGTATGCGCTTGCCGTGAATCATACATATGATGTGATATGTTAACACAGCTGCTGGCGTGCCACGTATGACAACACGAATGTTAACATGCCGCTCCTAGCTTCTTTTTGAATTTGTGAGGGCGTACAGCATGAATTATTTACGCGATGTTCATTCACAACCAGGAAAAACAGTGCAGGGCATTCGGCAGTGATCGAGTCCCGTTATGAGAGTGTAGCGTGCTATTCTGGTTCAAGTGAGTCCGACTGGTATTTTGAATGCGACCTGGTCTATACAATAACTTGGTAGGCTAGCTGATGAATGTACATGTCAGAGTTTTTGTTCCTGCAGAAGGTTCCGGTACGGACAAGCCAACCCCAGAAAATGAGAGAGACGGTTGAGCAGGGCAGGGCGCGAGCTATCGCAGGCACGCTAGTTACCCCCAAGCATTTCGCCAGCGAGCAAGATTGGTACCCACCATAATTCCCAGGTGTTCACCAACTTACCCACCTTTTTCTTCAGTTTCTCCTAAAAAAACTGCCGTTGAATGGCGAGGGGTAGGGTCGTCGCTAATCAGTTGCTGATTCCAAGTATTATAGATAGAAGTATAGTAGTTCTTGGGAAATTTCTTCCAGAGCCAGATACTACTCCTGACTACGAACCCCTGTCCCAGCGACCAAATACGACCCTCTTGATGGAATCAATGATGTGTGCCCTGTCCTGACCATGAACGTGATGGGCTGCGCTATTTGCCTTTGCCCTACCTTTTTTATTACTTGCTTCAGCCATAAAAAAATAAAGGATAAAGCTTACGCGTAGTTGATCAATCTTTCCCTTTCCGGGGAGCTGCAGGCATTTTCAGAGTCGTAAAGGCTTATTGAATGCGATATGGCCTATACAATGAATTGCTGATGCCATTGAAAGTCATCTTTTATCTTTCCAGACGAATCTGGTTACTTTTTACATTATCGGGAAGATGGTAGGCTAGTAACTTCGGGCGGAACCAATCCGGTATTCAACCCTCGAGACTTGCGCACGGTTATCGGGCTCATGCCACTACATCACTTACGCCTCTCGTTCAGCGATAAAGTAATATATAAATTTTCAGAATGTACACAACACTATTGAAACCAGAGTAAACGTAGGGTATATTTATGTACAATCTGGAATAGAAATAGGTACGAATCTATGAATTGAGAAAGCATCGTAGGGAATCTGGAAGATTTTTCGAATGCTTCAGAAGCACACTGTATGTGTACTGTGTCGCATATGCAAGTCTTTTGCAATCATTTCAGAAGTGATTGGATGCATTGACGAACGTGTCTGGATAAACGTGTCACGAGCACGACTTTTGGCGGCTTGCCAAGCGGTGAGGTCCCTGAAATCATCGAATTTCAGATAAGTAATGTGGGCGCTAGTAATCATGAAGGGGCGTCAGAGGCAAGAGGCACGAGAAGTCCTCTCTACGTGTAAGATGAATATGCCAAAGCACCAAAGAATACCGTGCCTCTGAGCAGGCCTTACATGGTGGGTTACAGGGCACTTGTCAACCAGATGTGCTCTCACGCGGGGGTCCACGGGTATTCTTTCGTGGCATTACTACCCCAGTACTTTGAAGGGAGAAGGTAAAGTAGGAGGAAACAGAGAAGGAAGGAAGGAAGGAAAAGAAGGAAGCAGGAAGAAGGAAATAGAAGATAGGCTCCGCTGCTGACAAGTGCCCTGAGACGTTATATGGTGTCTCTTTACGGAAAAAGGTCTCTAAGCATCCTAGTAAGGCTTAACATATCCACCCATACTCCCACCAACGCCAGCGCTCACCTACATCAAATCTCTGAGATGTGGTAGGCGTGGCTGCGTACTTGAACTAGACGTGGGAGTGACTGTGCTTTTGGTGAGAAGTTTTCGTTCTGAGATAGTTATGGGTGTCTCTGTCCAACATAGAGCAAGATGACACTTGTAGCAGAACTCAAATATTCCACAAATGATCCCTTTATGCCATGCTCAAATGCCACGCCCACTCCGTCTCGGGGATAAGGAGTGTAAATGGCCGCACCGATAAGCAGTTGATCACGATCGGATCACATCTTTTCACCCACGGCCAAATGGCGCTTTTTCTTTTTTTCAGGAATTTTGAGGTGAACTCTTCTGCCATTACCAAGTCACATGCTTTCATCGATTTTTTTTCAAAGAAAGTCAAGCCAAGTACCTGTAAACGGGCCGGCAGAACTTCAGGCGTCCTTGAGAGGACACGAATTTGAGCGCCTTGTCGATAATTGGCTCCCACTTCGCTTTCACGCATAGTCGAATCCATCTGAAAAATGGATTTCTCTCTTCCAGTTAGTTCGGTTTCATTGTGAGGAAAGATGCTGATTGATTATCACTGTGATGGGTCATCAGCACATGATCACTAATTGCTTTGTCGCAACTAAAATCCATATCTGAGGGCAAAAGGGGCGTAGCCTCGAGTTTCCTCAGTCCCCGAGTTCATTTAATCTATAGGTCTCAGTTCGGTGAGACTTGTAAACTCCTGCGAAGCTGCGATTACAGAAATCTACGTCTTCACAAGATGGTACCATGAGTTGGTACCCCACCAAGCCGAACGGCGCCGGGGGGTATTCCGTAATTAGATCTGGCCACGACTTTCAGCCAGACTGCTGGAGCAGGACTATATTACCCAGAGTAAAGTGTATGTTTAGAGTTTGCCGAAGAGAGTTTATAATCGTGCTTGTCCTACTCCTTCGACCAAACCAATTCTGCATATTAATCTGAAACATAGTCCAAGGTTCGTAAACTCACTTCAGGACAATTTCACTATTCTCCGAATCGTTGAGGCCATACGCTCTATTTAATGCGGCCAGTCTCCAATGCTCTAACGGATGATCATGCTGAAAACACGGAATAAATAAGTGTACCATGAGAATGGTAAAGTTTAGGGGTGTCACCTGGAACAATGTCGACTGAGGAATTCTATTTGCTGCAGGGGTTGCATAGCTTTGAAGGTGGCACTGTCAATTTTGTCCACATCGGCTTCATTAGCCTCAATCCACTGTGTAAAGAATGCCCGCTTCACAACGCGACCACCAGGGGGCTATGTCCATCAAGCTCGAAAAAAAAATCTGTTGAATCTGCTCAGTGCGCAGGAAAAAAAGCTTCGGAAAGTCGGTGGGAAGTCGAGAAGTTTCAAGAAGCTTGTAGATAGGATGGAGGCTGGGGAGGGGAATGGTCGTTGAAGAAGAGGGATTTTTGAATGGTATCGTATTTTGTAAAAACCATCTCCAACGCGATAGGGAGCGTGCCGTGCCCTGGCACTGAGGGTGGTTTGGTGTTTAGGTTCACTTCATGAAATCCGTTCACGAGGGGAAAGGGTAACTACACAACGCGAGGCGACGAACAAGCCCAAGAAAAGGGAGCGTCGCCTCCTTATTTGTGTTGTAGGAATTCAGTTAATGGAAAAGAAACTATTTGAGGTACACCATCAGTTAGCAGAACTGCGAAAAATGCTTGGAACATCATGGTGAAATTGGTGCGTCAATGCTACCTCCACCCCGACCCTAAACTTTCCTTTTCCGGTACCACCCCTCCCCCTACCAAATTTGCAAAGTCTTATTTTGAGAAAAAAAACAGGAATCTAGGGGAATGGGAAGTCCTTGTCCGTGAACTGGTTACATAGCAGTTTTGCCCGCATAATTGGCCACTCTTCCGATTGGGTTGGGCAGGGGGGGGGGGGTAAAACGCGTGAAACGATCAACTAGTCGAAAGGACTTCTCTCGAGAAAATTTTCCTAGGGTCAATGTAAACCGCTTCCCCCGACTAAGTACGACCTCTTCGTAATTTGCGAGACAAGTTCTTGAGGAATACTTGAACAGGTACGTGGGGACTCAATCCGCGGTGTTTTTCGGAGCAAACTTTGAAGTAAAATATATTTGGCCCTCCACTGTCGATAGTAAACTACAGTCTTGTTCGCTGCGGACGCTAGGACGTTTCATGGAGGCCGGGTCCGTCGCTAATCCAGCCTGCTTCGCATCAGTTCTGGAAGCCGGCAGGCGATTATAGTTGGTGGAGAGCAGGGCACATGTCGCGCCAAACCCAGCCTAGTGAAAGACCCCAGCACTCGCAGCGAACCAGACTGCGCGTCAGATCCTTTTCAAGTAGCTGAACTCACCTCGGTTTCTCCGGTGGCATGCCAACTGCATAGAACCATGCGTCGAAGTCAACTGTGTTCAGAATATCCTTCTTGTCCTGAAAAGATGTCTTTTGAACTGGACTTTAATTAATTAGAGTTTTATTAGTTTTATTACACTAGTAGTTTAGTTTAGAGTTAAGAATCCATTATGAAGATCACTCACATGAAAGTACTCGTGAAGATGTTTTTTCCACTGAAAACTATCGATAGCCATGTGTGCGAATGTAGTCAAATAGTCCCGTAGGTATGGTTCAAAAACTTCTGAATAGTACTGATTACACACTGATTTTGAGAATTCGGAGTACTGCTGGAGTTGAGTTCTTTTATATAGCACCCCCTGTTCAAGCTGCAAGCCCTGGTGGGCCGAGATGACCATGCCCCTTCAAGTCTTAAAAGTGATTTCGTACCTGCTCCGCCAAGTTTCTGCTCTAAATAAAACAGTAGAGCGGATCCTTTCTCATAAGGCACACACGAGAATGCAACGTCTGGATCGACATTTGTGTGGTCCTGGATTAGCTTGGTGAATTGGTGAGTGGGCGTGAACTGTTCGTACACCTACAATGAGAAATGAGTAAGTGATAATGGTAACATGTAAAATAAGTAATAGTAAAAATCAGCGATCATTTCGAAAAAAGACGGTTTTGAATTCTTTCCTCTCAAACGAAAGTACCTTGGG